GACTCCCAAGGAGTTTAAAGCCATAAATATTTTTTCTTGCCAAACTTACCCTTCCCCAGGGCTCCTGGGAAATAACGGAACTAGACTAAATTGGTGTTCTTCTAACGTAGTTTGGCAGTCAGTGCTGGTCCTGGCAAACCTTTCTACAAAGTTATTGCACAAGTCTACCAGTCAACATCAAGAAACATATCTAAGGAGCTGCATAAAGGAAAGCACTAAAGGTATTAAACATTTGTATAGATTCATATGTAAAGATAAAGGAGGATCTATCTATGTAATAATCAAGACTTCTGGAATTTTGAGCTCCTTAGCCCAGCATTTGAAGCCCCCATAATGTTGGTCTTTAACGTTTTTCAAGTTTCCTCTTTCAGAAACCCTTCTTTACATCCCCTTATACTTCTTCCTCATTGCTTTCTCCACCCTTCCCTGTATTCTCCAATCTCATCTCTGCTCAAACTAGTCCATGTCTGAAATCACCTCTATTATATACTTGTCAAATTACAATCCATTCTTTTTTTTTAACAACTTTATTGGAGTATAATTGCTTTAACAATGGTGTGTTAGTTTCTGCTTTTTAACAAAGTGAATCAGTTATACACACACATATGTTCCCATATCTCTTCCCTCTTGCGTCTCCCTCCCTTCCACCCTCCCTTACTATCCATTCTTCTTCATAGTACTTCAAAGTACTCTTTTTCTTCTCTACAATCCTCACATCTGTTTTAACTCTCAGAATAGTCTGTCTTGAGGTCAGTGATTATATCTTTGATTCCTGTATTATTACAAATAAGAATCAAATAATTATAGAAAGAATGAATGAATTGTGAACTCCTAGTAGGCAGGGTCTTACTCATCTTTGTATCCCTCAAGCAGCCTAGCCATTTGGGAGATAGGATGCTGAAGAACATAGAATCAAATATAGTTTAAAAACTGGCTTCCATCTTTTTATAGCTGCATAGCCTTGGGAAATTACTTAACCTTTCTGAACTACAATTTTTTGAGTAAAATGGCACTTCAGAGGTAGGCTTAAAAAATGAGAATTAGTCATTCTTTATGTGGAGTTCCAAATATGCAGAACTATTCCTTAAGTGTTTATAGGATTGCCTTGAATCACCTTTTAGTATGCTAAGTGTCAAGGGAAATACAGGTGAATAATAAAGATACTTACTCTCAAAAGGCTTGTAGTCTTAAATTCAGGACTTCCACACGTGAAACAAAGCAAACCATACAAAACACACTATAAATAAATATTAAATAAGGGATATGATACATGAATTCAGAGAAGAGGCAGTCTATAGTAATACTAATGGTAGGACATGAGGTAGTCTGAAAGCTGTGCAGTATTTGGGAGGAGAGCCCTGTTTGCCTAGGTGATTTCTTTTGGCTACAAAATCTATATACTATCTGTAGTAGTCCCTCTATCCATGGGGAATACATTTCAAGACCCCCAGTGGAAGCCTGAAACCACAGAGAGTACCATATTCTACGTATAGTATATTTTTCCCTATACAGGCATACACCCCAGAGATATTGTGGATTCAATTCCAGACCACTGCGATAAAGCAAATATTGTAATAAAGTTAGTCACATGAATTTTTGGTTTCCCAGTGCATGTAAACTTATGTTTGCACTATACTGTAGCCTATTAAGTGTTCAACAGCATTATGTCTAAAAAAAACAATGTACATACCTTAATTAAAAAATAATGCTGTTGGAAAAATGATGCCAATAGTCTTGCTCAGTGCAGGGTTGCCACAAACCTTCAACTTGTAAAAAACACAGTCTGTGAAACGAAATAAAGCAGAGTGCAATATAATGAGGTATGCCTATACATACATGCCTATGATAAAGTTTAATTTATAACTTAGGCACAGTAAAAGATGAACAACAATAACTAATAATAGAAAATTTATAACAATGTACTATAGTAAAAATTATGTGAATGCAGACTTTCTCTCTCTCAAAATATCTTATTGTACAAATATGATGCCTTTTCCATCTTAATTAAGCACTTATCATGCACTGTAGCCATAACTTTTGCATGTAGAGGTGAGACAGCAAAACTAGCACAGACTTCTTTTTCCTTCTTCACAATTTCATTGGTAGAAGATTCATTCTTACTGTTGATCTTAACCTCAGCATACAATTTTTTTTTAACTTTCACCTTTTCACTTAAAGGAAGCACTTTATGGCTCCTCTTTGGCATATCCAAATTGCCAGAATCACTACTCTTGTGCTTTGGGGCTATTATTAAGTAAAATAAGGGTTGCTTGAATACAAGCACTATGATAGTCTATCTGATAACCAGGATAACTGCTAAGTGACTAAGGGGCAGGGTATTCTGGACATAGGGATGATTCATGGCCCAGGTAGGATGGATCAGGAGGGCGTGAGATTTCATCACTCTACTCAGAACAGCCTGCAATGTAAAATTTATGAATTGTTTATTTTTGTAATTTTCCATTTAATGTTTTCAGACTTTGGTTAACTGCAGGTAACTGAAATTGCAGAAACGGAAACTGAAGACAAGGGGGGCGGGGTGGGGGGCCAGGTTCCTGTATGTGCTGTCGATTCTCCTGCTCCGAGCTCTCTTACTTAACCCTCAACTCTTATACACAGCTATACATGATATCTCTTTTTGGATCTCTAATAGGCACCTAAAACTTTGATATATACATAACTTCACTCTCAAACTTTCTACCTAACCTGTTCTTAACCCAGTTTTCCTTGTTAAATGCAATTCCATCTCTCCACTTGCTCCGACCACCTTAGAGTTATGTTTTTCTCTCACATTCCATCAGTAAGTTGTCTGGCTTCTACCTCTAAAATACATCTGAACCTGACAACTCTTCACTCTCTGCCTCTATAGTTAGCGTAAGCCACCATCACTTCTTGCTGCGACTAGCCCTGCCTTGACTCTTTTTGCAGTGTAGCCAGAGCAACCAGAATAATGTATAAATGTACATGTAAGTCAGATCTTAACCATTTCCCAGTGTAAAACCTTCCAATGGCTTTCCTTTGCAATTACTATAAACACCAAGTCCTTTACCGTGGTCTACAAGGACCTACATGATCAGATTCCTGCTCTCTCTTTCTTATACTAGCCTCAACTTAAATGTCATTTCCTCAGAGATGTCTTCCCCAACTATTATGTTGAAAATAATTTCCTTCCCCCCACCCCTCTGATACCTTTTATAATATTGTTTATTTTCTTCATAGCACTTAGCATTCTCTAAAGTTACTTATTTACTTGAGTATTGTTTCCTTTACTAGGATATAAGTTTCATGAAAGCAGGGACCATTTTTTTTTGTCATAACTGTGTCCCTAGCAACTGGAACAGTGTCATAAACATAGGTATGCGCTCAATAAATATATGTTAACTGAGTGAATGAACATGCTGCGTTCTTCCATTTATTATTTCCTAGTCTAAAAAGTGCCACCCATCTCCTTTCCCCAAATAAAACAAAAATTTAGTCCCTTCCAATTAATAAACTCTAAGGTCCTACTTATCCTTTATATTTCAATTTATATTTTTATTCTCCTCTGAAGCTTTCCCTTAACCCTTTCCCCCTCTCACTGAGGCAAAGTTAAGCACTTCCTTCTTGGTTTTCATTGTATTTTTTTTCAATTTCTCAGTTGTATCTATCACTTTATACTATGGCTGTCTACGTGTCTGTCTACCCTCATTAGATTGTGAAGGTTTTCATGGACAGGAACTGTGTATTATTTGGGTCGGTTTCCTTAGCATCTGGAATAATGCGAGGCATTCAGTTAATGTAGATAAATAAGTGAATCAAAATCTTAATTCCCATGGTAGTTTTCCAGAAGGCAGCATTGCTGTGTAAAATACAGATATGAGTAAGACTCTTGCCTTCTGAAGATATACAGTTTATTCATTATTAAATAAATATTTATCTGCAGTGTGCCAGGCATTATGCTTAAGTGGTAAGGATCAAAGACAAAGGTCCCTGCCTGAAGAAACTCTATTTTAGTGGGGTGTTATTTCCCTTGACTTTGATCAATAATATTTCATGCTGTATATAGGTGTTTCCTAGGTATTTTGAATCTGTAATTTACCTGTGAACTCGATGGGTGACACTGGGACACACAGATTAACTGCCTAATTCTAATCTTATGTTGCATTTATATTTATCACATAGTTACATATTGGCAAAGGAGGAGTGATGAAGGCCAGAACCGTATATTTTTTTTGCTTCTAAAGCATAGCATGGAAGAGAGACTAGCACTACACTTGAGACTAGCAATACAGATTGTTCATACATAATGGTGACACATTTTTATTTTCATTGCCGATGGTGCTTTTTAATATTGTTATAAACAAATAGAACCATGGCCTATTTTTCTTAATTGATGTGGCTAAATTCATTTCTTCTTCATGTTTCTGACACATTTCTTACATTTTGGAACTTTGGCACAGAGTTTAATATTGCTCTGAATTCTCCACTTTCTGAATTCTCGGCATTTCTGACTTGTAAGTGAAAGCACAATTATCTTGAAGGAATTTCGGTATAGCAATTAAAGTTCTGTAGATTTCCATACTTTCTCAATTTTTACTGAAACTGTATTTGTATACCTATATGACACTCATGAGTATAAACAATAGTTTCAAATTTCTGTTCTTCCAGAACTGCTGTTTCATTTGGAATTGAACCAGAGTTTTTGAGTATACATTTTAGTAGCATATTTGGAATTTAATATAATTGACAAATTTGCTTCTCTTGGAGAAAATACATATGCAGACAGCAGCACATGACTTGTCGAAATTCTTATGTATGCAAAGTATTTATAACTGAAGTTTAAAAACACCTTGGTAGAGAAGGAGTTAACAGGTTAACTCCCCTTGGTTCTCGGCTTGCTCTCTTGCCTTTAGGAGCTGAAAAGATGATAACATTGGGCCCGGACATGCCTGTGTGGAGGTTATGGTACTCCTGGGGTTTTTTCGCTAACCGTAAAGCAAGCTAGGACTTGTTCATCTCAGAGTTCCTTGTTTCTCTTTCAGCCCTTTCAGTGCCCTGCAGGAGTCATTAAATCAAAACTTCATGCTGATCATCACCCACCGAGAAGTCCAGCGGGAGTACAACCTGAACTTCTCAGGAAGCAGTACCATTCAAGAGGTGAGTTATGTCTCACAGCTAAGGAATAAAGGTAGCTCATTATAGCTAATGTTGACCCTGTTAAAGAGGGCTTATGTGTTCTGGTTGGAAACTCTCTTTATGTTTCATTATTGGGTTTTTAATTTTAATTAACTTGAGCATCAGTGATTACTGTAGATACATTAAATGACTTGACCTAGAAAGATAGATGTTGTAAATGAAAGCTCTTGATAATTCTTAAAATAGTCAACTTTTAAAACCCTGCTTAAAAAAAACACATTGTTATATATTTCATAGTTTTATAGTAATTATTCAGAATATTAATTTGGAGATTATCGACAGCATGCATTTTCGAACATGCGTATACTTTATTTGAAAGGTTGCTCTCAAACATATTATTTATAGTGTGTATCCTGCCTATTTCCAAAAGGAATTGAGGAGGCTTTTCTTAAGCAGTTGAATTCCAGCCTTGGGCAGTATTCGTGAGATGCTGTAGGGAACCCAGTCATTTAGCTCAGAGTATCTAAGAAGAATCTATTTATAGTGTAAACATTTTCATCAATGTGACCAACCAGGGCCACTGTTTCAAAAAGAACCTCCCGCAAGAGAGAAGAGGTAACTTCTTGTCTGTGGCCCCACCTACCTAAAAGCTAGTAATTTATCTGCTTTGGGGGGGAAAATGTGTAAGGCTATGTGACAAGACTTGTGTTTAGAGACAGTGAAATTATGATTATGTCACATTACCCCTTGTAAATTATGAAGACAACAGTCATTGTCCACTCATGTTTTTATAAAGAAAATTAATCTTGTTTAATCTTAGATTATTTCATAAATTTTTTTCTTGGACTACATTGCTTCAACTAATTATTAATGTCATATTGAAAGAACAAGTTGTTTTCACCCTAATCATTTTTCGGAAGTATATGAATTATTTCAGTAATGACTGTTAATGGTTTTACTTTTTTCATGTTTTATCAATAAATTTCAACTTCTGAATTTGGCGTAAATAACTCATTACTTGAAGTTTATTTTCTCTATCACTTGAATAGTTTGTTGACTAGTAACTAAGATCTTTAAGATTTTTCTTGGCCCCTAATTTGAATCATAGGTTTAAATTATTTGATTTTTTTCAGGATTTTAAATATATTAATTGCCATTTCATTTTTAATCTCTATAATGGATGTTCTGTTCTCTAAATTTAAAATTTTAATTCATTGAAGAATCATTGTCGTTTTTATATTAAAAATAATGTTTAACTCTGGCCCTATCGCAGAGTTATTCTGGGAGCCTCATGATTATGAAATTTAAATTATATATTGAATAAAATTAAATAAGGAATTCAGTTTCAAAATAAATAACCCCAGTTTAATCAAGAACAGCAAAGATAATAAGAGGTAAATTTCATTCTGTTGTTGATTTCCTTTTTTAAGTTGAAGACTAGTATATCGCATGAAGGGTACATATAGACTGCCTTATTTTTTTTTTTTTCTGATTGCAATATTTACAGCCAGAATTTTACATTTTTTTGTTTTTTTGCATTTTTGTTTTAACATTTCCAGTTTCTATAGTTTGAGTGTGTTTCAACTTTCTCCCACAAGGGGGCAGAGAGGACTATTAAACTGATAGTCTAAAAATGCCGTTCAGTGTTTTCAAATTAGCTTCTCTTATATTAACAAAAAGGAGCATAATAGCCAAGTTATTGTTTGATTTACAGATAATTGGCATATTGCAGGGAGGAGACTTAATTTCACCCTTTTAAATTAAACAGGGAGATTTAAAAAGACATAAAATATTCATTAATGTTCGGTGATTATAAAGCAGTGGCATATATTTATTTTGCCTTTATTACTGTTTCGATGGGAAAATACTGCAAATATTTCCGAAATCGAGTTGGCCATACTGACAAGTTGAAATGTTTAAGCAGCGTTAATGCAATCTGCTCACACCTGATATCCTATGCAGAATGATTCAAAATGACTACATCAATTATTAAAAGAAATACTTAAAATTCTGTAAATGTGCCATTGTGTGCCACAGTTGGCTGAAACTGTTCTCTGCGCCCTGCTATTTAGATTACCAAATATATTTTAAGCTTCAAGGACTTGAAAACAGTATACCATTTTCTAAATGAAAAGTGTCCTGAAAATATTTTTGCAGACAAATATTCTTATGTATTTCTCAACAAGAGTTTGGTTTCTTCTTTTTTTTTCTTTTTTCCTTTTTTTATCTTTTAAAAGTTGATTTAAAATAATATTTGAAATGCTAGTTGCCAGGAAAAAAATAAGTGCAGTTGTTTCTAATATCTGTTGCTTTTCTGTAGGCAGACAGGTACACATAAACTCTTTTATTCTGTACAGTTTAGAAAAGGAATGTGGATTATACTCTCTAGGCCTAGGGTCACACTCTGTAGGCCTAATCCTAAGACGTTTCTCCTTCAACTTGTGGAATATCTGGAATGGGGTTCAAGGAGGACAAGATGCTCTTATGCTACAGCCATGCAACCCACAGTGACACTTAAGTACATGTATTTTTGTTGTTGCATGATTGAAAGTCAGGTTGCAACACAATAAAAATATAATCTTGAAATGATTTTGCAGTGTTACTTTATAAATGCTAGAATTTTTGCTATTAATTTGGAAGCTTAATGATACCATATATCCTAACTTGTAAATTAATTTTTGTCACCAGTTTCAGAAATCTTTTTTCAGTGTTGTTTGATAGGTTCAAGAATGAATTCCGACCAACATATAAAAGGAAGAAATAAAAAAAAAAAACAACTGATTTTATTTTCCAGTGTAGTTGTATATTATTTTTATTGTAGGTGGGGGAAAAAATACCATTTTCTGGTATTTTTAATTTTTGAAAGCCTTGCATTTCTAAAAGAAATCTCTTGTAATATTTTCCCTCCAGAGGGAAAGTTCTATTAAATGAAATAGGATTGACAAAGGTACTATAATTTCAATTTTTAATTAACAAAATACATTTTTTAAAATACTGACTTAGAAAATAGAACTTAGCTGCAGTTTGAATTTTAAATAACTCTTCAGTGACCATATGTTCATGCAGGTTAGTGGTGATAAACCGATAGTTGTACAAGTGTTTGTTCATTCTGTCTCTGTGATCTCTTGCCTCACAATGCATGACTTATATCCTTTGGGTGCTCTAGACTTTAATTTAAGCTAGTTAGATATTGAGGTTATTTTTTTTAAGCTCTTTACAAATCCTTCCACTTACATTATCCTCCTACTTGTGGAAAAGGCAATGACAGTATAAAAAGGTCAGAATGGAGGGTTGCAAGTAGTCATAAGAATAAAAATCCTTTCCCTTTTTCCATTATGACAAAGTAGTTTATAAAAATTATCAAATAATGTAACAATAACTTTGTGACAATCTGTCTTTCTACCTTCTTGGATCCTTAATTACCTAGTTGACACACTTTAAATTACTGAATTTCCCTGAAAATTTAAACAAGCTTACCTTATTTTAATGAATTTTCTACACTGAGAATTTAGATTTTTAAACAGTTAATTGTACAGATTTCAGTAATTCTGATTTTTAAAGATCTGTGGCTACAAATGCACTTGGGATTGGTTAAATTAGGGGGAAAAAAGATTGATTTGCCTACTTCAGATCCTAAACCCAGGTGTGGAAAAGGAAATAAAGTCCCTGAAATCAAGCCAACTTTTCTTGGAAACTAATTCTTTGTTGTCCATCTTACTATTGCAAAAGCTCCTATTAGACAAAATATCACTTTTCTTTTAGATGTCATACAAACTTAAGGAATACACACATGACCCAGAATAACACTGATAAAAAACCAAAGTATTTTTGGTACGGAATCATGGAGTATTCCTTATCTCTTACAGCGAGAAGCACTATGAAGAGCTATTGGAATTATTTAAATCCTTTTCTGAGTTTCACTTTACCCTAGAATTCTCACTGTTCTTATTAGTGTTTATTTAGTTCTCAATGGGAATTAAAGGGAAAAATCGACAACTTATAAAGATATATCCTGCATGGAATAATAAAACATTTCACTACTAATACCAGCAATTGTTAAGTGGGAAGCCACTACTTTTGAATTAGCAACAAGAAGTGAACTAAATAAATCATACCGGTCCTTAAAAATAATGTTGGCTAAGTAATTGTGAAATCATGAGACTAATTCTGATTCTGCAAATTTGAAACTCCTGTTGGGTTTTTTGTATCTATTTTTCACTTGCTACTTACTCAACTTGCTTGACTAATACATATTTCAAACTATTCTCCTTTAATGCTGGACGTTGTTAACAGTACATTTGTAGTCTTTTACAGATTATACTAAAGAGCAATTTTCTAGTAGTGGGTTGACTAAAACTTCTTAACTAACATGCCCTTTCTGTATATGTTTTACGTATAGTTTGTTTGTTTATTTTTTGGTTTGTTTGTTTTCCAGTATGGAGAGGGTGGGGGCTGCTGGCACAGAACTGAAGAGTAGAGAGATAAGAGTGTGCATATGCAATAGGGGAACTTAAATTGTGTGCTTATTTAATTAAAAGTTTACGTGGTTTATTTTTACTGTAAGATGAACGGCATATATAAGCTCAATTAGAATGAACCCATTTTAATTAGCGTGTATCATAGTTTGATTTTTAAAAATTTGAAATCAAAATGACATCTTAGGAAGAATGAAAGAGAAATAATTTCTTAAGCAACTGGGCAATGAATTTGAGCCTTTTTTCAGCTTTCAGAAAAGGAGACTGAGTTTCTTTTGCATGTATATAAGTTTCAAGTTGCACTTTGTTACTGAGATCTGTTGAAGTTATACCACTTCAAATGAATAAATCAGTAATGATCATTTTATAAACTTAGGGGTTTTCTGTGATGCTTAATAAATTATCCCCTTAGGAAATAAATTTGATATTTACAATGCAGCTATTTGGAACTGACAAGTCTTTCTTTCCCTCTGAAAGTATTTTAGAATAATCTCCACTGGACATTTTTTTTTTAGCCATTTAAGTATTTCTTCACCTACATTCAAG